AAAACTTCGGGTTACCTTGTCGAACCAGGTTAAACCGTTAAACTCGGGATCCATGTCATAAAAGTTTGATAACTAAATAAAATATTTTTAACATTAACAAAAGAAAAAAACAAATAAAAATGGACGGGTTAACCCAGAATTAATTGGGTAAACCCGTAAAACCTGAGATATGTGTCATGAAAGTATGATAACTAAATAGAAAGAAATTTAACATTAACAAACTAAAGTAAATGAAAAAAATTAATTAAAAAGAAAAAAACAAAAAAAACTCCGAGTTAACTCGTAAAACCAGATTAACCTGTTAAACTTGGGATTTTTATCATGAAAGTTTGATAACTAAATAAAAAAAATTTAACATTAACAAAAAAAAATAAAATGGACGGGTTAATCCATAATTAACTGGGTTAACCTGTGAAACTAAGTTAACCCGTGAAACCTGAGATATGTGTCATGAAAGTTTGATAACTAAATAAAAAAGAAATTTAACATTAACAAACTAAAATAAACAAAAAAAATTAATTAAATAGAAAAAAAATCCGGGTTAACTTGTGAAATCAAGTTAACCTGTTAAACCCGAGATCAATATCATAAAAGTCTGATAACTAAATTAAAAAAAAAATATTAACATTAACAAACTAAATTAAACAAAAAAAATTTTATTAAAAGAAAAAAAACAAAGAAAAAAAAGCTAACGGCATCAAAAAAGAAAAAATGAAAAAATGAAAAAAAAATAGCTTAAACTAAATTAAACAAAATAAAATTTATTAAAAGAAGAAAAAAAGCTAAAGGCATTAAAAAAGAAAAAACTAAAAAAATGAAGAAAAATAACTTAAAAAATAAAAAAAATAACTCAATCTTTATAAATTATTATAGTGAAAAATTGAGCAGTTTTAATATATTTTTAATATTTATACCTTCTTTCTCACTTCTCGTACACAGATGCCGTATGTTTTGGTGTAATAACGGTTGAATGAAATCATAATATATTATATAAAAAGCAGATAACTTAAAATTACAATTCGAAGATGGACAATTAGCATATTTTTTGTTCATATTCAAGATATTTAATGATGTTATGTACGTTTGAAGACAAAAAGCATATTTATGTTAGTAATTAGCTATTTATGAAGATAGAAAGTAAATTTATTTTTAAATTAATGGTTTTGGTTTGATTTATTTATTTTAAAAAAACAAGTTTATATCAGTTTATCTTAATTTTTTTTATTTGATTTAATGTTTTTTAGTTTGAAATAATTTATTATTTGACTAGGATTTTTTAGATTTAGCTCGGTTTATAAATATAATAACAATTATTTTTTAAAATATTTATTATTTAAAAATAAATAAAAATAATATAAAAGACTGATATATGTTTATAACATGCAATTCTTGTTATAGTGAAAATCAAACAAAATAATAATATCATCATAGATAACTTAAAAAAAAACGATAATTTCATAGGATTTTTATGGATATAGTAATAATTATTTTTTAAAATATTTTTTATTTAAAGATATATTAAAATAATATAAAAGACTAATTTATGGTTGGATAGCATGAAATTATTGTTACAGTAAAAATCAAACAAAATTGATAATGTCATAGGCATGTTTCATAAGATGCAAGGTTTTTAACTTGTTCTTCATTTCGGTGTCACCAATTAGAACTAAAATTTCCTCGGTCCGGTTATTCACATGCAGATGAAGAAATCTAGGAGCGAGAGAGTAAGGGAGGGTCCGGCCCCACTTGAATTAGCGTCGCCGGGAAGCTGGAGCTGTTACAGGCCAGAAAGACTTGCACTCCAAGTCGTCGGCCTTGAATTGTGGAGTGCAGCCCATCAAACGTCCTGATCCTCCTGATGCTGAAACCATTCACAGTAAATGCAAACTCCATTAACAACGAAGCACAGACCCAGTAGTCTTATTACGTTCACACTATCATAACATCGTCCGAAACACTGTTCGGTTTCTTTTTTGTATTTTTTCATTTTTGGACTTCTCTAGGGTTTTGATTTCTACTGGGCTTTAAACCTGCCCTTTCTAAGCGAGCTCTACCTGGGCTTTACTTGAGACCTTAACCTCTGACCTTTGCTTATGGAGTTGCTTGAGTTCGAATGGCAACGATAACAACCCGTACAATTTATTACAATCAGATTGTGTTTGATTCCCAGTTAAAAAACTGGAAGTGTCAGGGGATGAAATGATTTGAGAGTATAAAAAACGGGTTTCTGCATATGTTTGGTTCTTATACTCTTTGTATTATCTTAATTTATCAGATTTTTTATTCATTCCTATAAATTTGTATTACAATTTGATGGTGCAAAAAAAAAAAAAAAATTCTTTGGCTTGTCGTTTGGCCGTCAAGCGTGAAGTTCTAGAAAACTCCAAGACAAAGTTATTTTTTCGAAGAAAATCAGTATGATGCCGTTCTCAGCCCTCCAATGCTTACGAATGAATTGTCGGTACGGGCGCTCTCTTTATCGCCGGTAAATACCTCCCTCAACTAGTCAATGGCGGAATTAAGCAATCACCGACGAGCGCAGAGCCATTATTTTCCACTAATGAAACAACAAAGCATCACAATCACTGACTCTTTTTTTGAGATCATTTGAAAGAGTAAACAATTATTCTTTTTCTCGAGGTAAGCTCATAATGCATTGTTGATCTATAAAAACTGCCATCTTTTATACGCGTATGCGTGTTGAAAATGAGATTCAAACTGTATTTAGGAGCATGGCAACTATTGTTTTTTATGTATAAATATATTAAAATAATTTTTTTATTTTAAAAAAATTATTTTTAATATTAGTGTTTCGAATCGATCTAAAAACACAAAAAATTATTAATTTTAAATTAAAAAAAAAATTAAGAAAAAACACTGAGTTAAACCCCATTCTCAAACTACTCTAAGTTACTGACCTGGATAACATGGAACAAAGGCAGAGGAGGCATTGTTGTTCTGGAAGAATTATTGAAAGGATGTGTGTGCTGACCTGGAAATCAAATAATCTTTTTTAACCACATGTGTTAAAAGTAGACCGTCCACCCGAAGAAGTCCACACCAAATAACAGTTTAAAATGTCCAACTAGATTACCGCACGTTATAAAATAATCGATGGGCAGCTCTATTTTAATTTTTTTTAAGATGTCGCAGCGTTTTTTTTTTTTTAATAAAATTACTTTTAATATTTTTTTTATTTTAATACTTTGGTATAAAAATAAATAAATTTTATTCAAACATTACTTTAATCATGCATAATTGCCTTACATGATCATTTAGATAAGAATTTATTGAGTCTGTACGGTGATCTTCAAATCTATTTTGAACATAATTAAGAAAGTTTGCCTCTAGTTATCATTTTTTGTCGTCTTAGATCTAACTTTCATATTTTTAAAGTAAGGATTGAGTTTGCTTGTTGGATACATATCATAAATCATTATATTAGGATTAATAGTCTTTTATCATAAATACATCTTTACTATTTAAGGAAAACTTTTACAAGAGGATTATAGGTATTTTTATCATTAAAAAAACAACAACACAACTTATCCTAGATAATATATATAATAATTATCTTTTATATTATATAATAATTTTCTTATCTAGAAGTTTAAAAGTTATTTAAAACTTTTAGTTGTTATAAAGATAGAAGATTTCTATGAGATTTTTATGGGCTGTGATCTTATATTAAGACATATAAGTTTTTTAATATGGGCTGTGATCCTAAGTTAAGACGTGAGTTTTTTAATATGGGTTTTTATCTTGTCTCTAAGCTTAAGTATTTTTGAAAAAATATTCCTAGTAAAATAAGGGATTCTCTTATTCTTTAGTTAGTACGTGTAAAAGAATACAATAATATATTAAATAATGGAAAGAAAATGTATTGTGTTTGAAGGGTTCAGGCTAAAAAGATGTGAATCTTTGTATTGATCTAGTGAACCTAAATATTTATAAATCTTGATCATTTTAGTTTATCTTAAGAGTTGCATGAAAATTAATTAGTAAAAATATTGGTGTTCACTATTGAATTTAGTGTCGGCAATGTTATCGATAAAATAATTGGTGAATGTTAGCAATATGTTAACTAGAAATATTTGCTGGTCGAGAAAAAAGGTACCCGACTAAATAAGATATAATGCATATTTGTATTATTGATTATCAGCTATAAAATATGATGCTAACTTGTATAAAAGTTAGTGCTTGAAGAGAATATTTCAACAAATCATAAAAAATATACGAGATAAAAAAAAAAGGATTTGTGAGAGAGAAACTACTGGTGAAGATAATAGAATGAGAGGGTAAGAGCAGCTCCAATGGACGAGGCAAATGAAAAGCCAAATACTTTTTGCTATTTATTTCTCTTCTATTTACATCCTAACCGAAGAGCTAAACAAATAGCCAAAATGACTATTTGTTTTCTTAACAGCCATTTCTACATTTAACTGTAGAAATGGCCAAAATAATAGTTGTTGACCAACGGCTATTTTTATAGCCGTTGGCCAACAATTTTTTTTTTTTAAATATAGAAGAAATCTTCTATAAATACATGAAGAAAAAACTTATAGTTTTAAATTTTTGTATTGTGCCTCATCCTTCTCTCAAATGTTTTTTTTTTAAAAAACAAGAATCAATTATTCTCTGGTTAATTATTAACATCGGTTGTATTAATTAGCTGAAATTAAAAGGTATGCTTGTTTAAAAGCTTTTTTTATTTTTTATTTTATTTTTTATATCTCTTGATTTTTTAGACCTTTTGTTGTTAATTTAATATTTGTGATGAGTTTTATTTCTTTATTATTTTATGTTTTTAATATGGATTAAGGAAGACAATTTTTATTTATGTTGTTATCTTTGATAAAATTGAGAGGAATTAATAATGGTAGTTGATATTAATAAAAAGATAGAGTTACATATTTAAAATTTATTTTTGATTGTCTGTTTTAATTTGAGGTCAATTATATTATATCTTTTTGAAAATGCAATTAAACTAGTATATCGATTCTATTTTTGTCACGACCCGAATCCCGGGTCCATGACCGGCAACGCAGGAGCAGTGTCGAAAGGACACCCCACCTACGCTAAGCCTCAAAACGGACATATCAAAAGAACAAGATATTCAAAAATACGCAGCATTTCATAATCTTCAGAAATAGTATATTATTCAAAGCTGATGAAATCAAAGGATAGTTCAAAACTCTTCATAAGTAATTAATACAAAAATAATAATTCATAATACTCATTACATTGTCAAAATCCAAACTTAATTAAAACAGAGTAATAGTGGAGCGTCTAAGACATCGAATCAAAACAACCTTGAACAATAAGCAAGGCATACCGACCCAAAACTGAAGAAGCAGAAATACTCAACAAAGTCCAACTGCTATCAGAAACTAAGAACCTAAAATAATATTAAGATTGAGGGGTGAGTTCAACCAACTCAGTGAGGGAATAATATTTAATATACATTTTAGATATTTTTCATATTAATAGTTTATCAGATGATTTATCTTATATACATATACATATACATACTAAACATATTATCATAACGTAGTAGAATACATGTCAAAGATCAGATGACACCCGAATGTGACCAGATGACACCCGAAGGTGACCACTGTGGGATGATCAGTCGTCACAGGCTGATGCCTCTCTCATCAGCTAGGTATACAGAATACCATGTGCACAAAGGCTAACTACTCTCCGTTAGCATGGAGTTACTGACAAGTCCTATATCAAGGCATAATAGATATTCACAGAATCATTAAATAAACGTATATCATATCAGATAGAATTTAGCTCGACAGAATGCGAGTGCAATTTCAAGAATAGATGAGTACTTGGAAAACAAAGCAAAATATATATACTCAAAGATTATCCCACTCACCCGGAAAATATAGAACTAAAGGAACGTCAGACGAAAGACCCGAAAATCCTATTGAAGATCGTTAGGAGAACCTACAACAATATATGAAATATACTCAAAAAAACAACTCAAACAAAATATCCCAATGCATAAAATAAAACTAAGTTTACTCTCCTAGGTTTAGGGACTAAAACGATAATTATCCAAATAGGGACCAAAATGTAATTTTACCAAAATTGGACCAAACTGTAAATATATAACCATACTGAAATTTCACCCATAAACTATCCTTAATTCTGTTCAGAACGAACTAGGGACCTAACAGTAATTTTTATAAAGTTTAGGGGCTAAAATGTAAATTCCTAAAATTTAGGGACCAAACTGAAAATATTCCAAATCAATTATCAAACTGAGATTTATCATCCTTAACCCCATAATAACACTGTCCAGAATCTCAAAATACAATTAGGGGTCAAATTATAATTTTTTCCAAAGTTTAGGGACTAAACTGTAATTTCCACAAATTGAGGGACCAAATTGAATTTTCGTCATCTTCAACCTCAAACCCAGAATTGTTCACAGATTACCTACTGTTCTTTCCAGACTTCCAACTCAAAATTCACAATTTACACAAATCATAACTCAACATCATCATCTTTACCAACAATCTCTCAAAATCAATTAATTAATCAATTACCCACAACAATCAACCCTATAACATTCAAATTAATTCATCAATTAACCCAAAACACAAATTTTTAAAACCCTAATATTTATCAAAACATAAATTTAAATTTCAAACAATACATTTATACATTTAACAACCTAAATCTTACCTTTAAAGTTATTTCCTCTCAATCTCTTCCCTTTCCCTTCTCTTCCCCTCTTTTCTCTTCTTCTTCTCCCTTCTCCCTTCTTTCTTACGGTTTGCTCTAAAAAAAAACACAACTCCCTCTTTTTATTCTTTTTGTTCTTTTTGTTTCTTTTTCTTCCTATTTATATTTATCAACTATTATTCAATTACCACAATACCCCTTATTCATTTTACTCACTTCTAAGCCTTCAAGGGCTTTGTTGCCTTTTCCTATTCCTTATTATTTTTCAAAACATTACAATTTTAGTTCCAAAAAATGGTCAAATTGTTATGTTAGAACAAGTAGGAGGTAATGCTTATTATTAATTCGCATGTATGAAAACTACAAAATTAAAATTAACATTAATTTTAAATTTTTAACAATAACATATAAAACTTAAAATTAAAAATATTCATATAAATAAATTTTAAATTTAATTTTAAATTATATTTTTTAACTTTCATATTACTTCATTAATTTTATATTACTTTATAAATTATTCATATTAATTATATAATTAATAAGATCATAATTATATTATATATAAAATATCTAAAATAGTTATATAATTATATTAAAATTAATTTAACATGAAAAATATTAAAATATAAATGGTTTTTCCAAATAGCTTTTTACCATTGGAATGTACATAATTCAAAAAGCTATATTTATACTATTCAAAAAGCTATTTTTTTCATTTGGCTCTTCAATATAGCATTTTCCATTGGAGATGCTCTAAGGCATGATTATTTAGGTTAACCCAAACATAGACAAAAAGTTGGGTATCTAGGTTGATGCTCAAATAGGCAATTGTTGTATTTATTTTTTTTCTTCCTTACACAAGTAATGCACATGCCAGTAAAGCAGATAAAGTTATCATTTTTGTTGTCATTTTTAGTTAACATATATAGCCTATTTAAAATATATGCAAACATATCACCAAAATAAATCCACACACTTAACTAACCAAAGGTAATAATTTTGAACCAACCACCTGATCCAAACTCTTAAAGATCATAAATGGCATAAAGCCATGTTTGAAGAGTATGATACCTTAGTAAAGAATGGCATATAGGAGCTATTCCCCAAATGCAAGTCATAATTTAGTTGAATATAAATAGATTTTTAGAACTAAATAAAAATCTGATGGTTTTATCGATAAATTCAAGGCTCGTTTGGTTGCAAAAAGCTTCCACCAACACCTTAGAATAAACAACCATCACATATGCAGTCCAATTGTAAAACTAATAACTATTTGAATTGTTATTATTATAGTTGTGAGCCATGGCTGGTCCTTAAAGCAACTTGATACAAACAACGCCTTTTTTTAAGACTTCCTTTTAAAGAATGAAGACAAATGAAGCATGTTGCAATAAATTTTCACTTGATTCAGGATCAAGTTCAAAATGATACCCTTTATGTGGTTTATTTTTCTTCTAAAGATCTATTAGCTGATGCACTTATAAAGCTTCTTTCACCCCAATGTTTTCCTCAACTCAAGTACAAGATTGGACCTTTTTCTCTTGATATTTATCATAGAGGGGCATATTAGAGAGAATCAGTTTTTAATTTGTTATGCTATCACGACATCCTCTAGTATTTTTGAAAGAATTAGAGCTATAAATTTCCAAAAAAAAACTACGAGTTTTTATCCCTATTTTTGAATATTGCTTTGCAGCATTCTATCTGATGTAGTTTGAGTTCAAGGGATCATAGTTTTTATTCTGCAATTGCACTTGTGTTTTAAGTGCTCTCCCAAATCTAACTTCCATCACAGAGGCAATGGGTGCTTCAACTCGTATTTTTCAAATGATTGATCGAACTCCTAGCATAGACTCGAAAGATAAGAGGGGGAACGCTTTATCATATGTAAGAGGAGAAATTGATTTTCAGGACATACCTTTTAGCTATCCATCAAGACCTGACACTCCAATCTTGCAAGGGTTGAATCTCGGGATTCCAGCTGGTAAGACAGTTGGTCTTGTGGGAGACAGTGGCTCCGGAAAGTCCACAGTCATTTCATTAATTCAAAGATTTTATGACCCCAATAAGGGACAAATTCTCTTGGATGGACACCAAGTAAATAGGCTCCAGCTCAAATGGTGGAGCTCACAAATGGGTCTAGTTAATCAGGAACCAGTCCTCTTTGCAACAATCTCAGAATATATTGTTTGGGAAGGAAGGCGCCTTGATGGATGATGTAGTAAATGCTGCTAACGATGCAAATACTCATGACTTCATAACTAAGTTACCAGATGGATATTAAAGTCAAGTAAGTTGTCTTTGTTTAATAAAAAATTATTTAATGAATTCATTTCAAAAGAATTTTATGAAAATATTGATGGAAAAAAATTCTAATAGAAACTCAGATGTGTCATTCTTAAGAAAATGGCAAAAATCCAACACTGTCCCTAGTTTTCTTAGGCATTGGTGCCCTAGATTTCACCACCAGTCTCCTTCAGCACTACAATTTTGCAGTTATGGGAGAAAAGTTGACAAGAAAAGCACGTGAGAAACTACTAGCAAAGCTTATGAGTTTTGAAATAGGGTGGTTTGATGATGATGAGAACACGAGTGCAACAATTTGTGCAAGGTTAGCCACTGAAGCCAACATGGTTGGATCCCATGCTGGGGACCGCATGCCATTGCTGATTCAAGCATTCTTCGGATCTATCTGTGCTTACACATTAAGTCTTATTCTTACATGGAGGCTAGCCCTTGAGTTGATTGCAGTGCAGCCATTAGTTGTTGTGAGCTATTACTCAAAGAGTGTTTTAATGAAAAGTATGGCAGGAAAGGCACAAAAAGCACAAAAGGAAGGAAGTCAATTGCCAAGTGAAGCTGTTATCAACCATAGAACCATAACAGCATTCTCTTCTCAGAGGAGAATGTTGGGGCTTTTCAGAGCTACCTTGAGAGGTCCCAAAGAGGAGAGTTGTAGACACTCTGGCCTGTTTAGCCCACAATTTTTTAACACAGAGGTTAATATCCCCAGAGCAACTTTTCCAAGCGTTTTTGATACTGCTCTTCACTGCTTATGTCATTGCAGAAGGTGGAAGTATGACCAATGATTTATCGAAAGGAGGGAATGCCATTGGATCAGTGTTTGCAATCCCAGATAAGGAAAAGCGAGATTGAGCCAATTAACTTGTGGGGTACATTGGACATCAGGAGAAGGTTAAATGGCTAAGTGGAGCTCAACAATGACTTCTTTGCAAACCCATTAAGAACAGATCGAAAGATCTTCAAAGGCTGGAACCTCAAAATTGATGCAGGGAAGACAGTGGCACTGGTGGGCCAAGTGGTTCTGGAAAATATACCATCTTTGGACTTATCGAGAGGTTTTACGATCCCATTTGCTGGCACTTTCCGCGAAAATATTGCCTATGGCTAAGAGGTTTGGATTTAAATTCGTTGCCAACAGAGTAGATAGAATATAGAAAAGGAAGTAGCTGTTATAACAAAGGTCAACGATTCAAGCTTTCACAAGGTGTTTTTTTTCTTGCTGGAATATAATGGTGTGATATAGGAGTTTTTACTGATGTTTTCATCTTCCAGGACAACCGTTACGACAATTGCAGTTTCTAAGATGATTTTAGAAGTGAAAGCTTCATGAATCAATATTTAATTCCCTAAAAACAAAAAGGGTAACACCTTTTGTAATCCGTAGACACACAGCAATGAATTTGATTTGTGCTATCTTTGTTACTGAACATGTTTTCCAAAGTTTAATGTTCCTTCGATTCCTCAAGAGTAATCTAACGCAGAAGTAGAGTTGCTTTGTAGGTTTTTTCTAACTTACAGATCACCAATTCACCATGTCCCATGTACAAGAAGAATAAGGAAAAAAAAAAAAAACATGAGGGAAGTTTTCTGAGTAATTTGAGGAGAGAAGACCGGGGACAACCCTTGTCGTTCTTTGCTTCTCTCTCTTCTTCAGCTCCTTTTCTTCTTCTTCTTCTTGGCTTTTTCTCTTCTCTCTTACTTCTCTTCATTTTTCTCTTTGTCCCGCATCATAGTAACATCAAAACTATATATCTGACTGATAACATAATTTATTCTTCATCATTAAAGAAGATCACTGTAAAAGAAACATAAATAAATTCAAAAATTAGATCATAGTCTGCACACTGTGAGACATAATCCTCGGCAAAGTTTTGACAGCAGATAAATTTAAGCGGTTGATTGTTACATGTGAAAAAAGGTCATTTATACAACACAAGAATGGAATCTGAGAAAGATGACTTTATCTAAATGTCTGATGCAATGAACACTTACAAAATCTTTCCAATAAATCTTAAGGGGAATAAGAACAAGAATCCAAGAATACATACTAAGTTGACGTACTCCATGTCCTAGATAAATGATACTCTCTAATATCTCATGTACACATTTCTCTTTTTCTTTCATATAAGAAGTGCACTTAACAACTAGTTTAAGGGAAAGAAAGATCTGTTATATAATCATTGGAGGAAAATCTCAAGTATTTCAGTATCTTTGTTTCAACTTTTTTTTGGCAGGAGATGACTGCAGGCAGAATTTGTTTCTTGGCAAAACATGGGCAAAACACGATACCAAATAAAACCAAGCCAAAAGGAAAACAATGAGTTACTGACCATACATAACTATGGATATGCAAAGAAAGATCCTAACCTGATCATAATCATCACATCAAGGATATTGTGAATATTATTTATTTATTGGATTATAATGTCTATATTATCAGCAATAGTGACAGAGTGATTCTTGGCAAAAAACATTGCCAGCATGTAGACGAAATAAATACTGAACCAACGAATAGCATGAGGGATATCAACATTATTCTTTCCCTGGTCACCCTATGAAGAACCAAGTGCCGGCTAATTTACTAGATGGCTGGATGCCTCTGGCATTCTCACAAAAGTTTAATTATATGAAAACAATATAAGAAAAATTAGGGACTAGAATATGATTAAACGTGTCTAGTAGCACTTAGCAATGCCTACAAAGAGCTGTCTAAGTTGAAGGTTAAGTAATGGTGAAAGCTGTCTTATACCTTTGAAATCTCGTCACTCTCCAAGAAGGAGCATAGAAAATGGGTGGTAAAGATAGCATGTTTCGGTACGCTGATGGCATGGACAAGTTGTTGATGTTCTTTGGGGTTTTGGGCAGTGTTGGAGAAGGGTTACGACACCCTCTCACAATGTATGTTCTTAGCCATGTCATCAATGACTATGGTAGCTCTGGTATTTCTTTGTCTACTGATACTGTAAACAAGGTGAGCAATTTAACACTCATGCATTGTACTTCAAAAAATGCTTTGAACGATATGTCGATTAACTTTCTGTTAATTCCACGTGTCAGTATTCTCTCAAGCTCCTGTATATTGCAATTGCTGTTGGACTTGCAGCATTTGTTGGTTAGTTTCATTCTTAGTAACTCCATCTAACTACTTTCAGGCTTCGTTTTTGCTAAAATTGACTGGTACTACGCTAATGAGTATAGAAATCGGGAATTTAACTGTTCCTTTGTTGCATTTTTTCGGGTCTTTGTTTACTTTGACAGAAGGATTGTGTTGGACGAGAACTGCTGAGAGACAGACTTCTCGGATGAGAACGGAATATTTGAAATCGGTCCTTAGACAAGAAGTTGGTTTCTTTGACACTCAAGATGCTGGTTCTTCCACAACCTATAAAGTTGTCAACACCATCTCCAATGATGCCAGTGCTATCCAAGTAGCAATATGTGAGAAGGTTCGATTTCAGTTTCTTTCATTTGCTTTGTTCTGTTTCAGATAAACCTGGGTGTTGAGAACTTAAAAAACACAACTAAGAGTATCTCTTTGGTACAGATTGAAATTCCTGTAAATATATTATCAGAACCTGACTGAAAACATTCCAACCAAATGATTCATTATGCCTATCAACTTAAGATTTCATGTTAGATCAGCAGAGTGATCCGACCAAGTAAATGCATATCTATAATCATGGAGCTACTAAGATTCCATGAATAGCACTTCTGCTCCAAAGCACTGTATAGGTCATTTCTCCAATATCTTGCTTGTTGGCTTGGAATCTGTCTGGTGTATGCAAATCTGCTGGAAAATGATAAAATGTTTGCCCACAACTTGAGCATCCTCCTTCAAGCATAGAATGAGTACAAATTTAATTATGCCGTTAGCAGATAAATACAAGAACTCAGAGTAGAACTGTTTTGTTAACATCCATGCTGTGATTGAAGTTATAAAAATGGATTGTTGTTGCTTGCAGATACCTGACTGCCTTGCACAAATGTCATGCTTCTTCTTCTGCCTTGTGTTTTCCTTCATACTATCGTGGAAGTTTACACTGGCAGCTCTTCCTTTTGCATTGATGTTTATTGCCCCGGGACTTGTATTTGGGAAGCTCATGATGGACGTGACAATGAAGATGATTGAAGCTTATGGAGTTGCTGGTGGGATTGCGGAACAAGCCATTTCTTCAATAAGAACTGTATACTCATATGTGGCGGAGAATCAAACACTGGACCGGTTCAGCCGTGCACTTCAAAAGACGATAGAATTAGGAATAAAGCAAGGATTCGCAAAGGGATTGATGATGGGAAGCATGGGAATGGTTTATGTAAGTTGGGCATTTCAAGCTTGGGCTGGCACTTATTTGGTGACTGAAAAGGGAGAAAAGGGTGGTTCTATCTTTGTAGCAGGAATCAATATAATGATGGGAGGACTGTGAGTTTTTTTTTATTAAGCTAACTTCTCTTTGCGGCAGACTAAGTTTATCTGATCTCAATTCTGGAAATCACAGTTCTTTTTTCATTTGCAGGAGCGTATTAAGTGCACTCCCAAATCTAACATCCATCACAGAGGCAACAGTTGCTGCTACGCGTATTTTTCAAATGATTGAACGAAGTATAGACTTGGAAGAAAAGAAGGGGAAGGCTTTATCATATGTAAGAGGAGAAATTGATTTTCAGGACATACATTTTAGCTATCCATCAAGACCTGACACACCAATCTTGCGAGGGTTGAATCTCCGGATTCCAGCTGGTAAGACAGTTGGTCTTGTGGGAGGCAGTGGCTCCGGAAAGTCTACAGTCATTTCATTGCTTCAAAGATTTTATGAGCCCAATGAAGGACAAATTCTCTTAGATGGACACAAAATAAATAGGCTTCAGCTCAAATGGTGGAGATCCCAAATGGGTCTAGTTAATCAGGAACCAGTCCTCTTTGCCACATCTATAAAGGAGAATATATTGTTTGGGAAGGAAGGTGCCTTGATGGATGATGTGATCAATGCCGCTAAGGATGCAAATGCACATGACTTCATAACTAAGTTAACCGATGGATATGAAACACAAGTAAGCTAAATTGTCTGAACTCAATATGTTATGTCTAGATTGCTACTGTTAGCGAATTTGTTTCGAAAGCATTTCATACATATGCTAATGTAAAGTTCTCCTAGAATGCCTGAGATGCGATAAAAATAAACGGTACAAGGTGATTCTTGAATTCCTCGGCATTACTTCAATATTGTATGTTTGGAATTTATTTAAGTAGAAGCTCTGAAATATGCAAATTGCTTGTGATATAGTTTTAGGTCCCAATTAATGCCCTGAGCTGATTTAAACAAACCATCATGAATTAGATGCAAAGTCTGACATAACAGTTCATGATGGATTCCACAGGTTGGCCAGTTTGGATTCCAATTATCTGGGGGGCAAAAGCAGCGTATTGCCATAGCAAGGGCTCTGATCAGAGACCCCAAAATCCTGCTTCTAGATGAGGCAACCAGTGCACTGGATGCACAGTCTGAAAGAATAGTTCAGGATGCAATTGATCAGGCATCGAAAGGAAGGACAACAATCACCATTGCGCATCGCCTCTCCACAATCAGAACAGCAAACCTGATTGTTGTTCTACAATCTGGGAGAGTAATTGAATCAGGTTCACATGAACAGTTAATGCAAATAAGTAATGGAAGAGGTGGGGAATACTTCGGGATGGTGCAGTTGCAACAGATGGCAGCACAGAAAGAAAATTTTACTGACTTCATCTATAGAAATGATGGAAAGAACTCCTTTAGTATGAGTCCTGCTCCCAGTCCGGTTAGCGTGAGAAAAAGCACTCCAAGCACCCCAGTGTTAAGCCCCTTTAGCCCAGCATTGTCTATCGGCACACCTTATTCATACTCAATCTATGATCCCGATGATGAAAGTTTCGAAGACGACTTAAACAAATTAAATTATCCGGCACCTTCTCAGTGGCGTCTGCTGAAAATGAATGCACCTGAATGGGGACGAGGCTTGACTGGATGCTTGGCTGCAATAGGTGCCGAAGCGGTTCAACCTATTAATGCTTACTGTGCGGGATCACTTATGTCAAACTACTTCGGCAGTGACAAATCTGCTATCAAACATAAATCCAACATATTGGCCTTGGTTTTTTTATTTATTGGTGCTCTCAACTTCATAACCAGCCTCCTCCAACATTATAATTTTGCAGTTATGGGAGAGAGGTTGACGAAAAGAGTACGCGAGAAACTACTAGCAAAGCTGATGACTTTTGAGATAGGGTGGTTTGATGATGATGAGAATACAAGTGCAGCAATTTGTGCAAGGCTAGCCACTGAAGCCAGCATGGTTCGCTCCCTTGTTGGGGATCGGATGTCATTGCTGGTACAAACATTCTTTGGTTCCGTCTTTGCTTATTCAACAGGACTTGTTCTAACATGGAGGCTAACCCTTGTTATGATAGCTGTGCAACCATTAGTTATTGGAAGTTTTTATTTGAGGAGTGTTTTGATGAAAAATATGGCCGGGAAAGCACAAAAGGCACAAATGGAAGGAAGCCAACTAGCAAGTGAAGCTGTTATTAACCACAGAACTATAGCTGCATTCTCTTCTGAGAAGAGAATGTTGGAGCTTTTCAAAGCCACCTTGAGAGGTCCTAAAGAAGAGAGTGTTAAGCACTCATGGCTGTCAGGTCTTGGCCTGTTTTCCTCCCAGTTTTTTAACACGGCTTTTATCACACTAACATACTGGTATGGTGGGAGGCTCCTGACGGAAGGGTTAATAACCCCAGAGCGCCTTTTCCAAGCATTTTTGATACTGCTTTTCACTGCTTATGTCATTGCAGAAGCTGGAAGCATGACTAATGATATATCCAAAGGAGGCAATGCCATTCGAACAATATTTGCAATTCTCGATAGGAAAAGTGAGATTGATCCATTCAACTCATTTGATGCTTCGAACATCAGGAGAAAGTTAAATGGCCAAGTGGAGTTCAACAATGTCTACTTTGCTTATCCAACAAGACCAGATCAAATGATCTTCAAAGGCTTGAACCTCAAAATTGATGCAGGGAAGACAATGGCACTGGTAGGGCCAAGTGGTTCTGGAAAATCTACTGTCATTGGACTTATTGAGAGGTTTTACGATCCCTTGAAAGGAGCAGTTTTTATTGACAGACAGGACATAAAGAGCTACAATTTGAGAATGCTGAGATCTCATATTGCACTAGTCAGTCAAGAACCAACACTGTTTGCTGGCACTATCCGCGAAAATATTGCCTATGGAAAAGAGAATGCAAGAGAATCTGAGATACGAAAGGCTGCAGTTGTTGCCAATGCACATGAATTCATCAGGTATAGAAATATTTAATCAAATGTACTCAGATATATTCATATGAGTGAATGTCATGGTTTACAGGACCAATACAAAAATTCTTTACCTGGTTTTACTTGAGAAGCTGCAAACGAAAGCCATAGATCTCTTGTGTTTGATTTGATTTCTTCCTTGTTGCAGTGGAATGAAAGATGGGTATGATACCTACTGTGGAGAAAGAGGAGTTCAGCTATCAGGAGGTCAAAAACAAAGAATAGCACTTGCTCGGGCGATACTGAAGGATCCATCAATCCTGCTGTTGGATGAGGCAACCAGTGCACTTGACAGTGTGTCAGAGAGCTTAGTTCAAGAGGCACTTGAGAAGATGATGGTTGGCAGAACATGTGTAGTCATTGCTCATCGGCTATCAACAATTCAGAAATCTAACTGCATTGCGGTTATCAAGAACGGAAAGGTTGTAGAACAAGGCTCACACAAAGAACTCATAGCATTAGGCAGCGGTGGAGAATACTACTCTCTGACAAAACTACAAAGCGGAAGCTCCTCTTATCGATAAAGCAGAATCATCTGGAGTCTGGGCTGCCATAGGAGGAAAGTCTAATCTTTTTTAAGTCTGGACTGGCATGATTTTTGAAGAAGATTCTGTGAATCCATTACTGCAACTTAAATGTAACACATTACATGCTCCTCAAGCTTAGAAATCATGCTTCCAAATGAAAAAAAAATATATAATGAAATTGCTAGTTTTGGGAGAATTACAATGGCATCAAATCACGTGAAGAAAATTATGTTTTCTACTTGAGCTAAATGCCATAGCCCTGTCTCTGTTAATGACGGCACCCTGCTATGTCTCATTCCTTGTTTAAAAAGTGTAATAACAATGCCCTCCCTCCTAAAATAACGAGACCATAAAGCCCTAAAAATGTTTTTACCCTTCCACCGCATTGCAGTCTGCATTTTGCATGACATTCTCACGATGATCAATGAATGAATTGCAGGAAGGTACCATTTCAGCAAACAATATTGTAGGATGGGATATTGTAGAATAAACTTTATGGTAAAATCATCTCTGAATTCAAGTGCTGGTACAGATTTTTACCGAGACAGAGCAAATAGATTCTGTTGCAATTTATTATTATCTTTGTCACAGAGAATTTGAAGGGTGAGTAATCCATCTACTTCGATAAATAACTTGGTTTTACGTTTGAGAGTCAAAGCTGGAATACGTTCTCTTCTCTGTTCCCATCCAAATTCCTCTAAGATTACATGAACAAATATTTTCTTACAAGATTACTAGTCCAAAGTATAATGCAGAAGAACGATTTTCAAATTTTTGTAAGTTTTCTGTACAAATTTAAATATATCTTGTATTTGTTCTGTATTTTATATTGTATATGTTTTAGGGATTAATTAAAAACAAAAAACATAGTTAGAGATCGTCGGATATTTCAAATAAAGCTGATCTATTTCAGGGATTGATTAAATATACGAATCATTTCCCCTTGAACAAAGAAAGAGATGCAATGCCAAGAAACTCCTGCGTGTAATAGTTTACGGTCTCGCTCTACTTTGTGAGCTGAATCAAACGAACAAGAATTGTATTATAGTGTTATTAAACTCAATGCAGCAAATTAATTTTAAAATTAATTTATCTCATTTTTTTTTGCCTAACTTTGTGTTAAAGCTGGTTTAATATGATCTGGTTATTTTAATTGGTCCAAAAAAATTTATTCAACCCTTAAAAATAATATAAGAATGAAATAAAAATATATTTTTTATGAAATTGACAAAAAAAATTCCCTTGACTAAACTTATTGTATAGCATAGGTTTAAAATTAAATCTCAGGGGAGCTTATGTAATTTATTTGACTTGTACAATCCAAAACCAAATCTAAAAAAAATCCAAGAAGAAAATGAGAGAAAAAAAATGAAAGTAACAAAAATACTTCTCACTCCAACTTTTTATTTAATTTAAATTTAAAATTAAATTATTTAAAACTTATTTTAATATCATTCGATCAACTTAATATATTAAAAGATATTTAGAATTATTATTAAAAAGAAAATATTATGATAAAATTGAGTAAATTAAATAAAAAGAGAAATAAATAAAAAAAGATAGGCTAAATTATAATTTTAAAACTCAACTCGACGTAACAGGTCGAATTGAAACTCGATTGACCCGAAACTGAAACCCAACAAGGATTAAAAAATAAAATCAAAAAATTAGTTGATTTGAAAAAACCCAGTTAAAAATTCAATTATAACCTGTTAATTATTTTTTTAATTAAAACAGAGTCATTTTAACTTATATAAAAAATTAAAATTAAACCCAATAATCCAATCAAAATCTAATAACTGAGTAAAATTGATGAATCAAGCCTTGAGCCGGATTCACAGACCTGGTTTAAGAACTCTGACTGAATTGAAAAGGAAAAGAAGTGAACAGTGAAGCCACATGAAAATCATGGCAAGCTTTATACATAAAAAGTGTCCCACCAAGGACTCAGAAACTTCGTGCATAACCATTCCTGAACGCAAACGCGTGGGACTGGCAAGGAAAAGGATGATGCTTTCTGGTGAAATTGCAAGGAAAATGGGAGGTATCTTCCTTTAATCCATGGGGAAGAACCCTAGGAAACAACATCTCATCCTGAATTCCTTGCTTTCTTCAATCAATCAATCGATCAAAGTCTCCTTTTCACATCTCAGGGTACGAAGCTCAGTCACGTGACAATGTCCATAAACCCCTTTTTCCTTTTTCCCCTCTGTTTTCGCATCTTTGATCATGTTTTTTAAGCCATGTTTGTTAGCACAATAACTAAAGCAATCCGGATGTGTTTTGTAATCCGGTTTAATTTCTTTTTAAAATGTTTTTTTAATATTAAATTGATTTTTTCCAAGTATTTTTTTTTATAATTTGAATATGTTAATGTAAATTTTTTTATAAAAATATTATTTAATGTATTTTTAATTAAAAAACGTTTGAAAAAACATGAGTATTATCGGATAATCTACCTCAAGATTTCTTATAATTATGAAACCTTATTATTATTATAAAAAAGAAGCATACCCCTAACCATCGGGCATCCTCTTTTTATTTTAATTAATAAAAATTTTGGAGTTGAAAGCAAATTTCAAGTTAAATATTGTTGTTTTTGTGTTTTAAAAATATTTTAAAAAATTATTTTTTTATTTTTTAAAATCAAATTAATTATTTTTATTTTAATATATTTTTAAATAAAAAATGTTTTAAAAACAATCACTCATCACTTCCAAACACTTTGAAAACCAGTTGCACAAGTTTACTCTTCTCTGACGTGTGGCCTTCTTAGAACAGAAACGCCTCTTTGTTAAACACAAAGCACTGTCCCAGTGTCCTGTTCTTGCTAATAAATACAGGTAACATTTCGCAAGGTTCACTGTAATCAGTAATCATAAGAGAATAAAGAGTGTTTAAGATTGTATTAATAGTTATTTTTTAAATTATATTTGTTTGAAAATATATTAAAATAATAGTTTTTTAGTTTTTAAAATCTATTTTTTATACTAATACATCAAAATAATTTGAAAATAGTAAAAAATATATTAATTTAAAACAAATAGAAAAATTAATTTAAAAAAAAAACACTTCAAAAATAAAAAAAAACAGTCCAGTTGTTGAAATGTTCATTGCTCTCATGTTTTACCAGGCGGCGAGCCATGCACAGAATTTCCGTGCTTTTACTTTAGATTGCGCTTTCTGTTGCCAAACATCTTCATAAATTCCTGGCTCCTTGCTTGTTAAGACCTTTTCTCCTTTTCATCACCGTATTGTCCAAAAGCTAGCATCTTTTGTTGAAAAATCAAAGTATTAATTTCCACATCTTATCTCTAATGAAGCTTAGGGGAATCCAATGCAAGAAACACAACTCTTGTCTCTTTCCAAAATTACCATTTCATTGCTTAAAAGAGCAAGAAAATGAGGGCAAAACTCCACTACTACTCAAGAGTAACACTCTCTCAGAACTCCCACAACTACGACTCAGTCAGGTGACGATTTCTCCAAATGAAATGGATTTTAGTGGAAGAGAATACTGAGAATGGGGCTGCCAAAGCTTTGCCGAAGTTGAGTATCCAACAGTTTGGTGAAAAGGCAGTAATAACACTTGGTTTTGGTGAAGCTAAAAGGTGACTTGAGCTCAACATTTCCAGAATAGAAAGGGCGTCCGAGTTCATAAACCTGAATGCTCTATTTAGAAATAGAAGCAGCCATCATTTCTGGGTAGCCGATGTTCTTTCCAACAAAGAGCAGGTTGTCTAAAAAACTTGTATTCCGGGAAAGCAAACCAAATTGTCTTAAATAGAAAATTAAAGATCAATCAAGCTTAGCAAATTGCAGACCTTCGTTCTACTCTGAAAAATCCCTCTCGTACAATCATCACCTTAACATTCAATTTGAAGGGGACTTCAGTCCACAAGTTAAAGCATACACTCAGTCAATCAACTCATTAAAAAAAAAATGACCATTCTGGAAGAAAACTGGTGGTGCCATTTATTAGCTCTCCTTTGCATCCGGCAGCAGAACAAACCAGTAATATTTCCACCAGAAACGAAATTTGAATACTTCAATAAATTAATTGAACATCTATACATCAACAGAAAATCCATCACAAAATGGTCAAAGCAATTTCAATTCTCTAAAAGAAGAAAATATATATATCGTAACTTCCATGTATAAACTTCAGATAAAATCTGTTAGTAAAAAGAACAAGAATTTTCCAGAAAATAAAGATACCACCAAGAAAATCATCCCAAAAGTCAAACATACCAAAATTCGGGCATACTACAAGAAACAATGCCATTTAAATTCATCAAAAAATAAGCAAACCTAAAACCAAAAGGTTAGCAAAAAAAAATCCCATTTGCCCACAATAGCTCGTAATCTTATCTGCATTAGACTTGAGCTTTATGTCTTTGTGGTTGACTTTAATAATGGTACCATTGACTTCCACATTAGCCCCCACCCTTATCTTATACCTCTTAGTCCTGAACATAAGAATCTTGTACCTCACTGAAGTAACCAAATCCACCCGGAAAAACGCCGTCAACCCATTTGCCGGAGCTGCCTGGGAAACCACATCCCGGTCAATATTTGATATGGTACCATTCTTTCTAGCAGTCTTTTTATGCCCCTGATAAAACTTTGTTATAGTGAAATTCCCAATAAAGTGGGACCTATTTGGAGTGTAAAATGTGACATTTATTGGATCATAGTAAACGCCCTTGTCTTTGTTGGTGTTTTTAAGTCTGAGTTCAAACTCAAGGGATGTAAGGTTTGAGGAGTTTGAGGTTTGGTCAAGAGGAAGGTAAAATTTGCTAAGTAGACAACTGGGTGATGAAGTACGCAAGCTGAGCCACATAAAAAGAGCTGTTAGCCCTAAAGTGAATATGAAGTTACAACAGCACCTACCGCAACCACCACCACCACCACCGGAATTAGGCATTATGAGGTGGTTTTCCGGTGAACCGTAAAAGGGCTATGATGGAGGAGATCAAGAAGGGAGAGAGTTTGTTTTTGGGAGAGAATAATTGAAGTTAGGGACCTTGTGGTCTTTGTTTCTCTCTCGTTTCATAAAGAAGAGGTGGGGGACAAAAAGCACGCTGTTGCTACCTTTGTTTGTTAAGAGATGTGATAAATGTACATGCAGGTGTTTTGGTTATAAATTCTGGCCAATGGGATCTAAGGTTGGTGAGAGAAATGGAGGTGAGTAG